CGGAAGAGATCAGGGCCCTGCAGGACCTGTTACAGTTCCGCAGGGCCTGCAAGACAGAGCTCTTCCACCAGGCTTTTGAATAGGAGCCGCCGCCGCTACCACTACCATCAACGAGGGCCAGGATTGCAGCACCGCTGCCGGAGGCTTAGTGGCCAAGGTACATCAGGGGGCCACATCATCCTCCCTTTGCCCCAAAGGCAGGTGCAATATGGAGAGAGGTGTTTGTCACGCGGGATCCTTGGGCGTTTGCCCATTGTATTAAAGTGTTTTTAAATGTTTTATTGTGTTTTTATCGCACTGTGTGCCATATTGTGTATTATGGTGCTGTAATGCACCTCATACTGTAAGCCACCCTGAGCCCGAGGGCGGGGTATAAATAAAATTAAATAAATAATAATAAATAAAATAATAAATATGCCCAGTACGCTGTTTGCCCTGTTTTCATGGCTAGCAGAAACAAGGGAAGAAGAAACGGGCATGGGGGTGGTAGAGATCAGCTTCCCTCTGACGTGTGGCAGTGCTGGGGGGCCCTGACAACCCCTCCGTGGTTTGGGTGTGTTCCTGGCAGCCCTTCCTGGAGGCCCCCCTGCCCGCCCGCCCCCGGTCACAACTGCCCTTTCCCCCCTGCAGTGTATGCGCGTGACGGGGGTGTGCCTCCGCACCAGACCAAGGCTTCGGTCCGCATCCTGGTGGCCGATGAGAACGACCACGCCCCGGCCTTCCAGAGTGACACGTACGCCTTGGAGGTGCCCGAGAACCAGAGCCAGGCGGAGGTGGTCACCGTGTGCGCCACGGACCACGATGCAGGCGAAAACGGCCGCCTCTCCTACCAGCTGACGGGTGAGTCCTCCCAGGTGCCCGTGGGGGGTGAACGGGCACCCAAGGGCCGGGAGAAGATCTGCTGTGCCGAGGGCCGGAGGGGGCCGTGGCCTTTCCCCCTCTGGCCCCAAGGGGGCTGCTCTCTCTTTCCACACCGCCCTATATCATTCCCCACCTTGGCCGTGTCTCGTGCCTGACCGACCTGTCTGATAACGACCTACCAGCCGCAGTTCGGTCTGAGACCCCCTCTGTGGGGCGGGCGGGCGGCTCCTTCAGCCAGTGGGCAGTGGGCAACCCTGGTTCTTGCTCCTGTCCTCCCCCCTGCAGCTGGAGATCCGGAGAGGGACTTTGCCCTCAACCCCGTCTCGGGCAAGCTGTACAAAACGCAGGGGCTGGACCGAGAGCGGGTCCCCAGATACGTGCTGACTGTGGAGGCCTGTGACCATGGCTCCCCCCCTCGCTGTGCCCGCCTGGCGCTCCACGTGCAAGTGCTGGACCTGAACGACAACGCCCCCCGCTTTGCCCAGGAGGCCTACGCCGCGGAAGTCCCCGAGGACCTGCCCGTGGGCTCCCTGGTGCTGCAGCTGGCAGCCCTGGACCCGGACGAGGGCGCCAACGGGCAGGTGTCCTACTTTTTGGCCAAGGAGTCCCTGGGCACCTTCCAGGTGGAGCCACGGACGGGCCGCCTCACCGTCACCCAGGCCCTGGACCGGGAGCGCCGGGCGACCTACAGCTTCCTGGCCTTGGCCATCGATTCCTCCCCCTTGAACCCTCAGAGCGCCTCCGTGCAGGTCACGGTCACCGTCCAGGACGTCAACGACCACTTCCCCACCTTCCCGCTCAGCCCGCTGGCCGTCACGCTGCCTCGCAACACCCCCGGCAAGAGGGTGGTGGCCACGCTGCGCGCCGAAGACCACGATGCCGGGGCCAACGCCTCCATCCTCTACCGCCTGGCCGCTCCCACGCCGGCCTTTGCCATCAACACGTACACGGGGGCCATCCAGCTGCTGCAGCCCCTGTCAGCCCTCGGCCAGCGCCAGCGCACCTTGTTTGTCGTGGCCAGCGACCTGGGGCGGCCGTCGCTGTCTTCCACCGGGGTGGTGGTCGTTCACCTGCAGGATGAGAGCTACCGGGGGGTGCGCTTCCCCCGCAGCAGCAGCGACGTGGCCCTGCCTGAGAACGCCGCGCCAGGTACTTGCCGGTCCGCTGCGCCATCCCCCTCGGAGAGGGGCACGAGCAGGACTCATGGACGGCCCCGCCCAGGGGAACCACGCCCTCCCTCGGGTTACTTATTGTTGTTGTCTACTCACGTTCTCGATAGCCACCTCTCTCCCGGGGACTCAAGGCGGGTCACCCAGAGTGAGTCAACAGAGTCCCAGAAATGGGACAGTCACTACGCAGGGCGTTAGGACTGCACACGTCTGGGACCACCCAGAAAGAACCAGAAGCGCAGCATCGGTTCTTCCCGTGTCCCATTGAGCGGTACAGACACGACATAAAAACTGGATCCCGCTCACAATAAGCTCTGCACCGCCGTAGGGACCACCGCTCCCCGGTCATTTACCCAAGCGAGTTTGTGAGGCCGTTTTGTGCCGTCCAGCCCTGTTAATGGCGCAGAAAAACCCTCTCTAAAAACAGCTGGGTTTTGCACCGTTTGCAGAAGGCCAGGGGGGGGCGCTTTCCCGAACTCCGCGGGGCCCACAAGGCCCGGGAGGCACCGCAGAGGCAGAGAGGAGAGCGCAGGCGTCGGTCTTGGCCGTGGGCAGCCCCGTCCCTGCAGAGGCCCCCTCCGACCTGAGCGCAGTGGGGGGGGGAGGCCTTGGGTGAGAGGCAGCCCCGCCAGTCAGAGGGCCCGAGGCCGCGAGGGGCTGTGTAGGGGGGAGAGCCCCCTGGCGGCGGGTGGGTGGGCAGCCAACGACGCTCCTTTTACGCTGCGGAGTCTTGTGAGCAAGGATCCTCCTTGGTGAGCCACGGGCATTCGGGTTGTGAGCCACGGGCCATTTGGCTCCTGCATGAATTAGTGTGGTGGGGGGGCCGTCGTGCCCCTGGGCACCCATTCAGGGGACTCTGGCGTCGCCTGTCTCGCGGGGGGGGCTCCCCCCCAGTGCTGCAGAAGTCAGTTAAGCTCCTCAGAAGGAGGCCCTTGCCCAGCCTGGCTGCCCGTGGGTGCGAGGAGTCCTGCTGCCCCTCGAAGCCTGGGGGGGCGGAGCCGGGGGGCCCCCGGCAGCCCCTCCCCCCTTTTGGCCTGGGGGGGTGGGGGATGCTCTGTGCCCGAGGGGGGGTTCTGTTGCAGTGCATGCTGGGAGGTGGGAGAGGCCGAGGCCACGGAGACCTGAAACCCCCCCCCCCCGGATGGGTTCTCTGAGGGACTCGGAGAGGAGGGGGCTGTCCCCTCTCAAGAGAAGGGCGCTTTGCCTTTCTGAATGGCCAGGGCTGTGTGACCCCCCTCCCACCCCATATCACGTGAAGGCCTCGGTGCCTGCGGGTGTTTGTTGCCTCCACCCCAGTGCTGTGCCCGTGCTGGGGGCTCCTTTGCCGCCACGCCCCCCCCACTGACCGTGCCCCCTGTGCGTTCTCCTCCAGGCACCACCGTGGTGAGCCTCCCGGCCACGCACACGGCCGGCTCCTCGGGCCGCATCACCTACAGCATCGTCAGCGGCAACGAGCGGGGGGCCTTCCGCATCCAGCCCGGCTCAGGTAGGGGGGCTCTGCCCCAGCAAGGACGGCGGCCACGGTGGGTGGGGGTGCCAACGCTGGGCTGCGTGGCCCCGGCGGCCTCTGTCACCGCCCCCACTTCCGAGCCAAGCCCCGCCTCCAGAAGCCCAAGAAGACAGAGCATCCCTTGCCCCAGACATAAGAACCTAAGAGAAGCCAGTGTTGGATCAGGCCAGTGGCCCATCTAGTCCACCACTCTGTCTCACACAGTGGCCAGAAATACCAGGGGCCCTCAGGAGGTCCAGCAGTGGGGCCAGGACACTAGAAGCCCCTCCCACTGTTGACCCCCCCCCCCGCCCCGGGAAGACAAAGCAT